AGGGCACGACATACTTCGTGGTAGTCCACACCGACGAAGGGGTTTTTCTTTGGGAACCCTTACCGGATCCTATAATCTTACACTTGACTCGATACGAAGGGAATTAGGTAATCGCAGTCACGCACTCACGTAAGCTCTTAACGTTCGTAAGTTGCTTGAGTTACACGTCATTGGATAGGCGTCCTCAACTTATGTATTTTTCGGTGATGGTTATAGTTCTGTCAACTGCCGCTAAATCATGATCTGTCAAGACGCCACGAGAACGTTAACCAGCGAAATTGGTTATGCAAGTCATGTCAAATAAGCCAATCGGGCTCTTCGGAATCGGTCTAGTCGGTCGCGTGTTTTGGGCATTTAGTCAAGTCTACTAAGGAACCGTGCATTAGAAATCACATTTAGAAATTTTTGAAGACTGTTATGATTCCAGAAGGCGGTGCCTAGTCGAGGACAGTTGTTTCTTATCAATAACATTCTGGGTATCGGTTAATTGGCGTTTATACATCAAAATATCTCATTTGCAACGAGTCTGCAGAATTCCCACACGCACACGGAATACTTGATAGAACAGTCCATCAGTAGATTCGCATTCTTGTAGTTACCATAGTGAACAGCGGCAATTCACTCCAGTAGGTCTTGTTCAATTTTGACCGTCTAAAAGACCACCAATCGCATCTTTTTACGAACTACTTACAAGTGTGAGTGGTATCTCACAACACACTTACTGATAATACCATACAGTTTAAAAGACGAATTACTCCACATGACATTTGTAGAACCAGGTTATCAACACCAGCCAAGGATTGACCCAAACCGACTAGGCACTACCCCCGCTTTTTAATGTTTTAGCTATCTATAGTTACGCACGTTTATGAATATTCTGCATCGATTAGTATCCGTCTTTTAGGTCATAGCGAATTGGAGGCACCAAATTAGACACATTCATAAGTAATAAATATATCCTGGACGAGTAGATGGACGCTCACCGACAGTCATCATATGGGCTCTTTTGGGTCTGAAAGCTTCATTGTTTTACCTTGCTTCAGTTCTCCACTGCGTATTAGATTCTTTGAGCTGATAGGTCGGCTTCATACAGCTGGAGAAATCCACTGAGGATTCCGTGCAAGAGATGTATACGGCGTCGACCGGCTCTTACCAATATCGTACCTCTAGTCTTCACATAACCTAGTGCAAACTGCGGGGCAGCAGTGTGTTCCTACGTGCTTACCGATATCTACCTAGCAGATCATTCTCCACTCGCTACATGTGGATGTCAACACGGGATCCATTCATTCCTGTTATCTGCACAGATATTCTCCATATCTTTTGGATCAGGTTGTAGATCAGGTCCATCTTTTGAGGATTAGCTTTTTCGTATGTCGCATACTGACTTTCTTGTCAACTTTTTTAGCACTTCTGTCGAGGCATTTGCCATATGAGAGTTCTCGCGTTAAACTCCCCTTGAGTTTAAGGTTGACCATCCGCCATAAGCTGTAATTTTTACGGGTCGAAAGTAGAGCGAGAGAGCAAAGATCGAAATTAAGATGGTCATATCCTCAAATTGCCGACCGCCACCCTTGATCCAATGGAAAATACAGTCATAATTATCTTGCGCAACGACCGATGCGTTATAAAATTCACCGGCATTAATCGTTACGTTTTATTGATGGAAGCTATCTTTTGGAACCATAGAAATACCTCTGGGTTCTTTTTCGAATGCAAATAATTTTGACATCNTTTGACATCAAACTCATCTTTTTCAGTTGATCGCAACATATGCTTTCTTGATAAGTGGAACGTGTGCAAAATCGTATCCACAGAGAAGACGAACCTGACTGACACTAGTCTTTCCGCGATGAATGCGGGCAAGAAGGAACGATGAGCACCAAGGCGGCTTCAGCTGTTCGTATACTAGTATAGTATTAACAAACTCTACTTCTCCGGTATACTGTTCAACCAAGTGGAAGGCTATCTTTCAGTTAATGAAGATGGAANNAGATGGAAATTTTATATCTATGGGAAGATTGCTATGCTAAAAAAATAACGAACTTTGAAAGTCAAAATGTCGTTAGAATAAGCATATAATGTCGACCCATCGATTAGCCCTCTCACATTGCCTGATTGTGTATTTGCTACCCCGGACAATAGGATAATTTTCACAAATTCACCTGTGAATCCAGGTCTGTACGAACGCGAAAAATTATCCGCTTTCAATGTCAATGAAATCCGGATTGGGAACCGGTAGCTATTCTGAGTACTTCTGGATCAATAGCGAAATATAAATCAAAACGTGACATTCTGTTATTCCTCGCCTTGGGTTGAAACTAGAAGTAGGACACAAAATGACCGGATAATCTGTCGTCCTGACTGTTTCCGTGTTGCCATAGTTACTATGGCACAAGTCACGCGGGCTAGCTGGTATTGATTACCTCATTTGTATTTTCCTCGTGAGATGTAGAGCAAACTGTACCCAATTAGAGCGTGATTATCGGCATGAATTCTGATTCACCTGTTTCTTATGCAACTGGGCTGTTTATATTAATCACTCAATCATCGTTGCTGGCGTTGTGGACTGTTGTACTACTCGGTCGCTCGGTCCAGAGTAGGCCTTGTTCAAGGGTGCACTCTAGCCTTTGCGCAACCAAGCGCGGACTGCAGGGGAGCAGCGATATTCCAGATGAGCTGGTGGCCAGTAGTTGGTTCATTCGCCCCTTCTGGAAATTCTTGTCGAGCAATGGACCTCGACAAGGAGCAATGACCATATTTTGTGGCGGGCCACACTTG